ATTTTTTTTTAAAGAGTAAGAATAAAATAAAACTTAAACAAACAAACAAAAGAAGATTGACAGTCCTTGTAGACAATGGAATATCCCCTCACAGAAGGGTCACAAGGAAGGGATGAATCAACCAGGGTGCAGTATAGCTCTGATGCAACACACAATATTCCTTTGGTTCCTTGAGGCTTCCTCACCCCCCACTATCATGACCCCAGTCCTGCCTTTCAGTCCAGGCTAGACTGGAGCACGTGCACTGGTACAGATAAGAGCTCAGGAGACATGCACAGAAATGGGAAGAGCGATACCAGGAGGGTAGGGGAAGCGGGAAAGAAGAGGGGAGGAAGGGAAACTGGTCACAATGATTCACACAAAGGGAGATGAACAACAGAAACCATGAGGGAAGGGGGACAGCGGTGGGTATAAGATATGAACATAATAATAATTTATCAAGGGGTCATGAGGGTGGGAGGGAAGGAAGAAAGAGGAGCTGATACCAAGGGCTCAAATAGAATGTTTAGAAAATGATTATGGCAACATAAGTACAAATATGTTTGATACAATGTATGTATGGATTGTTATAAGAGCTGTAAGAGCACCCAATAAAATGATCTTTAAAAAAATATTGCAGTCTTAGAAACATTCTAGAAGGTCACTCTGAGTCTAAATCAATGAAATGGTAGTGAGTACCTATATTTCCCAGGTTATAATTACAACTATACCACATTTTATTGTGCTTCGCTGTGAAGACAAGGTGGGTTTTTTGCAAAGCAGATGTTGGCAGCAACCCTGCGTGAAATGAGTCTACGGGCGGCAGATTCCCAACAGCACGCGCTGGCTCGGTGTCTGTGGGTCATGTGTTGGTAATTTGCACAATATTTCTCATTTTTTCATGATGTTATTACGCAGAGTAAACTACAGTAGCGTCCAGTATAATCTATACTGTAAACTCGTGGACTCACTTTCTGCAGCGTTTGCTACATTGTGGTAGTCTGGACTCACACTTGCACCATCTCCCAAGCGATGCTCAGAGGTCCACAGTGCTGAGGCTGCTGGCAGGCTGACTTCTAGATAAGAAGGGGTTTCCTGTACGTGACTTGATTGCCCTTTTCAAAATTGATTCATGTAGCTCGTTGTTGAAAAATCTAAGGGAAAATAATGAAACAGCCGCCCTCTGTCAGATTTACGCATTCATATCCAGGCAAACATGGGCTTAGGGATCATACAGGGGAGTTTGCAGAACACACAGATTATTCATTTACTTGAAACCGTTTTAATGGGGGCTCATACAACTCTTATCACAATCCATACACACATCAATTGTGTAAAGCACATTTGTACATTCATTGTCCTCCTCATTCTCAAAACATTTGCTCTCCACCTAAGCCCCTGGCATCAGCTCCTCATTTTTTCCCTTCCCACTCTCCCCCCTCCCTCATGATCCCTTGATAATTTATAAATTATTATTTTGTCATATCTTGCCCTGTCCGATGTCTCCCCTCACTTGCTCTTCTGTTGTCTGTCCCCCAGGGAGGAGGTCACATATAGTTCCTTGTAATCGGTTCCCTCTTTCCAACCCACTCTCCCTCTACCCTCCCAGTATCGTCACTCACACCACTGGTCCTGAAGGGATCACCCGCCCTGGAGTCCCTGTATTTCACGTTCCTACCTGTACCCGTGTATATCCTCTGGTCTAGCCAGACTTGCAAGGTAGAATTCAGATCATGATAGTGGGGGGAGGGGAGGAAGCATTTAGGAACTAGAAGAAAGTTGTATTTTTCATCATTGCTACATTGCACCCTGACTGGCTCGTCTCCTCCCCGAGACCCTTCTGTAAGGGGATGTCCAGTGGCCTACAAATGGGCTTTGGGTCTCCAATCTGCACCCCCCCCATCATTCACTATGATATGATTTTTTGTTCTGATGATGCCTTACACCTGATCCCTTTGACACCTTGTGATCGCACAGGCTGGTGGAATGCACAGTTTATTGAAATAAAGGGGAAGGAGTAATTTTGCTATGGTTGGGGGAAGTGTGTTTAATGGCAGCAGTGTGGAGTTCAAAAACCAGTTCTTTTAACTGTATCCCCAGTGATCTTTGTGTCTCTGCATAAAGCCCTGATGTCAGGGCCTCAATCCCTTGGGCTTTCTTTTCACGCCAAGGTAGGGAGTAAGGGATCTGTCATGCTGACTGATGGTCTGACAGGCTTGCTCTAGAGTGACATCTCCCCCCCCCCCATTTTTCTCCTAGTGAATTCTTCTGATGTTGACATTCAGCATAATGAACTTGATGGGTGCCAGAGGGCAAGTGCAGAGAAGCACTTAGAATCAGAATGCTTGCTAAGGATTTTTTTTTTCTTTCTTTCAGGGTGTAGTTTTATTGAATCCTTGAAAGGCAGACTCAGATGAACCTCCTTGATTGTGGAAGGAAACAGCCCAGATGATTGCAAACTCAAGAAACTGACAGAGCACCACTTAAACATTTAGCACAAACACATTTATTTTTCAAATTCTGACGTTTTTTCCTGAAGTACACTTGAACTCTAAATCCCCCTTTCCCTTCTTCCCTTTACAACATACCATTGCCAAGCTGTTTGCTGATAGACTTGGAGGCCTGAAGGGAAAAGCCGTATTCACATTCGCACAAAAGAAAGAAATGCTGGCTTGTCTCTAGGGTCACTTGTGACTACAATCTCCATAACAGGCACATTAGAGAATGGATGATCTTTTGTTATTAACCAATGATAATGAATGATAATTTCTGAAGGGCTGTGAAGCTCCCAAGGTAGCCGAAGGATTGGAAAGGTTTGCTACCACTTCCAAAGGCACCCGGTTTATTTCTACGGAATAAGGTCGGCGTTGGAAGAACACACATCAGACGTAAGCATCCAAAAGCGATGGAGTTCAGTGGGGTGGGAGTGGCTGTACCTTTAATGTTACATTCTGGGATGTAAAATTCTAGCATCTGTGCAAGGCGCTCTAGTAAAAGGCACCAGTTTAAAAGTAACTAGCATCACATTCAAGATAAGGCAGGATACGGAGAAATTGCAATTTATGAGAACGATGAAAGGATAGCAGTACCAACCTTGTCTGCCAGTACTGAAATTAACCTCCCTCAGACACACTGCTCTCATTGGGAATCTGAAGTACAGTTGGCATACGTACAGTGTATCAAAGAATTAGATAATACAGCCCAGTTTTTAATGTGGTCCCAAAGACGCTCCACCATAATGTTTCAATATTACAGAAATGAACGAGCTAGCTGACTGAGTTCTTCCAGACCCCGAAAGAGAAAGATGGCACATCGCTACACATCCCTGTTGACCGTTTCTGCACTGCTCGGGTTCTCCTCCCGGATGGCGTGGGTCAGCCTGCAGAGTACCTTCAGGACCCTATGTCTGTGTCATTTACATATCCCTCAATTCAAGCTTCCATTGACGAGCTCAAACCTGGGTTCCGGTCTCCCTAACCAGAACTTCCCACACTTCTTTAACAGGAACATTTAAAACACTAAGCAATAAAATAAAATAAAATAAAATAAAATAAAATAAAATAAAATAAACCCCTCTGAAGGAAGAGACTTGTTAAGGGAGAGCAACGCTATGTCCAGCTAATGCTCTGCCTTAGAAAGTCAAACTCAGCCTCGTTTCTTGAGGACCAGATCTCCCATTTAAAAACTTGCTAGTCCTCTTATTTTCTAAATATGGTGCTTAAATAAAATCAACTGCATATAATACACAGTAATTAAATAGTAACAAACCTAAAATAAATTAAAAGAAAAATACAGGGTCAGATGGTTTTTTAGAGAACACTCAGTTCCCCCAAAATGTTCACATTCCTTTTGGTACCAATTTCCACAAAGAGTGGGCAATACTGCCCTCTAGAGGACTTATTATGTTACATCCTTTAGTTCAGATAGGAAATGGCCCTAGGATGCAATGATTAGCAATCACACACACACAAACACACACACACTTTCTTTAGCTTCTGGGGCAGTTTGCCCTTGATTTTCTGTGAGTGACGTGGAAGCCCATGGAGAGCCCCTAGAGAGGCTTTTTGTCTTCCATGGAGTCTCACACTGTCGTGCTCTTTTACAAATATCTGGAGGGTTTGTTTAAACAAAGGTTGCTGGGCCCGCCCCTAGAGTTTCTGATTCTGTAAATCAGGGGGTGATGCTAACGCTGCCAATCCAGGCACCACACTTAGTGTGCCAGACATGGGGCTAGGCACTTTACCCTATTCGTAGCTTTCAAGAGGGCGATGCTTATCATCTCTGTTTTGCAAGTCCAGAAAACTAAGTCTCCGAGAGAGATCCAGGGGCCAAGCTCGCACCTGCCTACCGACTGACTTCAAGCTAATGCCAACTCAGTGACCCTCCAGGGCAGAACAGAGCTGATCCGTAGGGTACCTGAGGCTGTCAGTCTCTACAGGAGGAGACCACACCATCCTTGAACTGCTGACCCTGAAGTTCACAACACAATGTGTAGCCCACTCTACCATCTGGGCCCCTGTTGAATGCCATAATTTATGTAATTTCTTGGTGGCACAGCTAAAACTAAAAGCAACTGCTCTTTTCCTCGTGGTCTACACTGTGGTGTCTGTAAATAAAATGTTTAATCCTTCCATCTTTCTCCACATGAGCATCTTCGCACAAGAGGGCTGAAGACAGGACTTACATGGCTACTTACTCTCCCACTGCCTCCCATCAGAATGCCCGGTGGGTAGCTTGGAAAGTCTAGGCCACACTCACCCAGAAAAGGTCCACTGTACACCCAGCTGGTTCTACACCCAGACTGTGTAAGCCGAGAGGTGAAAGGAGATGATCCCAGCTCAGGGGCCTTCCAGGGTCTTGACTCTTCCTACAAAAGTCAGAGGTGGAGGATGGGTGCATTGCATTCTGGGGTTCTTTGTACTCAGGAGGAGGTCTGGTGGCCTAGGGCTTAAGCTACTAGTAACCACCAGCTGATCCATGGGAAATGGGGCCTTCTACTCCCAAAAAGAGTTAGTCTCAGAAACTCACAGGGGGGAGTTCCACCCTGCCCTGTAGTTTCTGTTGGTTTGTTTTGTTGTTGTTTTCGTTGTACACAAAAACTCTGGAAGGGAGTTTTTAAAGGAACATAATCTCTCACAGGAATGTAAGAGCCTGCAGGGAGAGGACCCACTGTCTCTACCCTCTCCAGTCTCAGCTCAAACCACTACCACAGGGCCAGACGCCTCAACTCTACAGCTGGTGTGGCCAGCTACCTGGGTTTAGCAGTGTGACACGTGAAAGGTTTTGCTAAAGGAAAAACAAGATTCAGGGCACATACCCCACTAGGATCATTGCAAGTGGAATGTCCTGAGCCTTCAACCCCAGGCAGGATGTCCCAGTGATAGGAAAAGGACTCAGGGCCTGCCCACTTGAAAAATCAGTTTTGGTGATGGTGTTTAACACGCCCCCCCCCCCTTTTTTTTTTTTCATCCATGGCATTCAGATCCTGGCCCAACTTGGTGTTTTCCCGAGGGGCTATAAATCCGAAGCATCCCATGGGGGTGGTTTCTGGCCGTAGTCCCGAGAGGAAAGGATGTTCTCAGAAACAGAGTCCTGCAGGCTGGTCAGTAGAGATCTGGAGGTCTAGGCCACGGCTGGATTTCGTGCAGAGCCTGACCCTGGACTCCAGCTGCTCACTGAGTTCGTCCAGGGCCCCGGTGCAGGACTCCAGGCTCTCGGCCAATTTCTGAATCTTGGCCTTCAGCACGGCCTGGCTAACCTTGGTAGCCCCCTCGGCCCGCCTGGGGATGAGGAAGCCACTGGAGCCAAAGAAGACAATGAAATAGACCGAGTTGTACAGGGCGATGGAGGCGTTCCGCCCGCACTGCAGCAGCTGGCGGTCCCCGCAGCCCTGCCAGCGGCAGAAGAACTCCAGGCAGCTCAGGATCTCGCGCATCTGGTCCTGGCAGGTGGCCGCGATCTCTTGCACCCTGCGCAGCTCCCGAGAGTTGCAGAAGACCAAGGAGAGGTCGGAAGTGATGGTGACGGCCCCGCCGGCGGTGGCCACCCCCAGCCCCACAGCGGAGGCCAGCAGCGAGGCCCCGAGCGTGATGGGGCTGAGTGAGAGGCCCACGATGGCGGTGACAGCGCCCGCGGCGCTCAGCGAGCTGCCTGCCACGTTGGCCGCCAGGGAACGTCGGCGGAGGCGCTCGAGGCGCCGCGCCACCTCGCGCAGGCGCAGCACCTGGCCGTGCAGCAGCCCGCGGCGGTCGAGCAGCAGCCCCTGGAAGCGCCGCAGCGAGTCGGCGCCGCGCGCCTCCCAGGCCACCAGGTTCTCCATGCCCTGCGGGGACAGACACACGGTTAGCCCACGGCGCCCCATCTCAGCTGCTGCCACCCCCGGTCCGGTTCTCAAAGACCCGTTGTATCATCTGGGCCAAGTCACAGCCCGTGCTCAGGGCCTTAGGGCCGCAGAAAGAGCTGACATCCTGTTCTCTCCCAAGGGACTTCATGAACTCTGTTCAGCAAGAGGTAAATTCACCGACGAGGAGGTGGTGGTCCACCTGGCAGCCCCTCCCATACTGAGGCCTTTGCCATGATTGAAATGCGTTTGACAAGTGGGAGGTAGCAGAGGGCACTCAGTTCTTTCAGTAGAGGGAGACTTGGACCAGAAGGGCCCAACAGCTGCTCCTTCTCGCTGACAAGTGAGAAAGGCAAGTCACCCAAGCTCAAAAAGCATACTGTCGATTAAAGCACGAAACGACTCTAAGTTTGATGCGTGTCTGCAACACGTCTCCTGCGTGTTAGTCTTCCAGAACTCTGGTCTTGGAATCAAGCCTAAAATGTGGTTTGCCTTAAATATTTCTTTGATTAGATAACTGGTACTCATCAAAAGCCTTCATAAATCTCCCTCCGGTAACCACTTACTTAAAATTAAATTGCATTAAATTAATACCACTATGCTTCTGGGTTATTAAAGCTTCCTTCCCCACCCCACCGCACCCCGAAAAAGAAAAGAGAAATTAGTCACGGTTGAATAAAATAAAGCAGTCAAAGTTGTGTCCAACAATTGACTGACGGCTCCTTTGTATCAAGTTGAATGGAAGCCCACTGAAGATGACTAACCAAGAGCAAGCGATACCATCTGGGATAGAAGTACACTTTCCTGCCTACCAAAGACTCCCAGTATCCTAGCCACTGTCCTCGTACTTTTAAGAATTTCTAAATGGGGACAGGTTAGCCTTAGAAGTAAGATCCTTTGGTACTAGTACCTTGGGTATAAAACATTTCTACCTCCCAAAGTTATCAGAGCAACACAGACCCATGGTAAGGGCTATACCCGATTCGTCCCAGGGCTCCAGATCCAAATCCAGGACTCCTGGCTCCTAGGTCCTCTTTTAAAACTGCCATGCTTCCCAATCACCGGCAATACATTTCCTGGTCACACACCTCTTAGCAAAATGAGAAAAAGTTCGTGGACCCAGGGTACAAGGCAAGCATCAGATGCTACTGTTTTCAGCCATTATCCCTCCAGGCTCCCCCTCCACTTACCATCCACTTGGCCAGCTCCAGGCGGGAAGGAAAATCTGAGGCTGTTTCTGGAGGGGCATGCTTTATAGTTCCTGAGGACCAATGGCAGCCCTGGGAACGGCTGGTCTCATTCTGCGACTTTGTCCTTTCCTGTCCTGGCCCCTGCTGCCTTTACCCCGGAGGATGTGACATGGTGGAAAGTGACCTGGAGTCACACGGTACATCCCGTATTTAGGAAATGAACATTGTGTGTTTGCTTTCCCCCACCCTCATGCCCCAAACGCAGGAAAAGAAACAGGCTCTTCCCCAACTTGAAATTAGTGTTGTCATTCTCCCAGTGGGGATACCCTGCCTTTCCTCTCTGGTGAATAGCGAGTGAATGACGTTATCTGGAAGGCCATCAAACGCACCCCAGACTGACCAATCAGATTCTTTCTGGAGAGGCCACCATGACAAGACCTCTTTTTAAAAAGAAAAGGGAGCGAGCGAGCGAGAGAAATAACACCACCCGCTCTTCCATCTACTATTAGCCACTCCTGCTTGGTGCAGTTCAAAATCCACCAGGAAGCTGTGAGTGGTGGCTCGGCTGCTCACAGCCCTGGCATCCGGCTCTGGGAGGAGCAGGCCCGGCCCACAGGAAGGGCTGCGTGCATTTCTGGGCATCTCCAGCTGTGGACAAGACAGGGGAGGTCGCGGGAAGGGCACGTTGCAGGCCAAATGCGTCAGAAAAATCGGTGGGGTCAAGCTGCACAAGGAGCTAATTATATCCCCTCCCTAACCGGGGTCTGGTTCCCAGGTTTTCCTTTGGAGTGCTCGTTGCAGCGCTGTCGGGCAGTTAGAGGAATCCTGTCTGCGGCAGGCAGGGTGATTGTGTGCATAACTGAGTACCCCTGCTCCATGGAGGCGCCTGGGTAACAGAATAACAAGTTGTCCGGTGCCGGCCATCCTCCCGAAAGTTGGTATGTCCCAGCCCGTTTGTGAGGGTGACTGGGTATCTTGGAGAGTCGTCCAGCCCATGGAGTTGATTTCTGCTCCTTCCGACTCTGTAGGACAGCGCAGAATGTTCCCGAGGATTTCCCAGACTCAGTTTTCACCGCACCAGACCACGTCATCTTTCTGGTGGGTTCAAACTGATGACCTTTCGGGTAGCAGACCAATGCTCAACCGGTAGTGCCAGCGGGGCTCCTCCTTCCAAACCACTGTCTCAGACAGGGGGCTTTCATGGGTTCACTTCGAGAAGTCGGTCACCAGCCTTGTTCTCCAGCTCTGGCTCTGTCTACAAGCCCCACTGAAAGCTGTCCCCCCGCTGTGATTTGAAATATGGACAGAGCCCCTGTAGCACAGTAACATGCAAGCCACCGCAGTAGGACAAGCTGACAGGCAGGTGGTGCGCTTTCGGATAAAGAGTCCCCAATGAGCGTTTTGATTTAATCAACCTAACAGTTGTCTCCACTTTGGTCGTTTGGAAAATCGAACAGCCATTTCTTTCTGGAATGCGGTGAAGTCCCTGCCTTTGTAACCAGAAGCAGTGCCTTCCAGTTGACAGGGGAGCGGTGCTCCGAGGAGGGCTTTCAGTGGCTAGATTTTCCGATCAAGTAGATGACCAGGACTTGCTTCTGATGGCCTCTGGGTGGTCTCCGATCTCAATCTCTCTGTTGACAGCTGATCACATTACCGGTTTCCATCACCCAGGAGATTTTACAAAGATATAGTGCTTTAACAAAACAAACAAGACTCACTGCCATAGAGTTCGATTCTGATTCATAGTGACCCCATAACACGACGTAGAAGTGCCCCCTGTGAGTCTCTGACACTGTCACTTTTTCACAGAGTACAAACGTCTCCTCTTTCTCCCGGGAGCACCTGGTGGTTTCAAACTGCTGACACTGCAAACTGCCGTTTGTTCGCAGCCCAGGGCATAACCACTCCGTCCCATTCGCCACTACTCACAGATGTGGTCTTTTTGAGTTTGAGTATTCTGAATTTGATCTGTGTCCATAGAATCTAGCTACAACACTTGTAATATTAAATAAAATTGCTAGGACGGAGGGTGAGGGAACCAGCCCCCACCCGCTGCTTGAACTCACTGGTTCAGTAATACTACTTCTGGGTTCAATAATGCACAATTGTACGGTTGAGATATATAAGTATTATATTAAAGTCATCGAGAGCATGAGAGATAATACAATAATACAGTCAGGCATGATACACAGCAACATTGCTCACCTCAGCCCAGCTTGGTGGTCCACGTGGAGAGGGGGAAGGGAAGGAGGGAAAGGGAACAAGGGAGAGGGGAGTGACCAGGGAGTGAGCAGCAAGGAGCTCAGGGTCAGAGAGAGTCAGAGAGTCAGAGAGAGATCTATAGTGCTGGCTCACACCTATATACCTTCTGGGGGCAAGCCAGCCCACTAATTACAGGTAAAGACATACGTCACAGGAAGGGGCTGCACTATAGGTTACACAGCAATGAGAGGGTGGTCTCTGGGTCTCCATAGGAACATTATCAGTAGGGTGTAAACCCCACCTAGAGGAACCAAGCTAATGGTCCCAAAGCTTCAGAGAGAAGTAGGCCATTGTCCCCAGCAGCAGGGAGCAGGCCCAGCCCTGCTGTGGGATGAGACAGCAGTCTGGCAGCAAGTGTCTGACTTCTCCCCACAAACACTCAAAGGAAAAACGTGAGTTTGTTCAAGCTCCCTCCAGAGCCACTTGTACTTCGTAAAGTCCAAAGTAGGGGACCATCTTCTGTTTCCCCGGAGCCTGTGCACACAGGGCCGTGGACCAGGGTGAAGGGGGGCTGGCAAGGAGGCATCCATCCTCCTTCTTCTTGCTCCTCTACCTGCCCTGGCCATTTCCTTGTGTGTTCAGTTATGCCCTTGCAGTCACCTTGACTCTGACTTTCAGCGGCCCCATCGGGTTTCCCAGCCTGTAATCTTTATGTAAGCACCCTCCCTCCTCCTCCTCCTGGGGAGTGGTCGATGGAGGTAAACCTTCCTGTTGACAGCAAAACACTTCGCCACAGAGCTACCAGGCTCCTTAGTTCAGCTTTAGATCATCATAATTTCATGCCTGAGAAATAAGGCTGGGGCTCAGGGGCATCCCTCATTGTTCTTGTTGTGTCTTTGGGAAAAGTTTACACAGAAGTTTAGCCACTTCTATGCGTATTATTCAGTGAAATGCGTTACATTTTTTCCCCCTCATTTTTCTCTCTTCACCAAATTTAATACATGTCTACCCTCTAGTCAGTGATTGACCTCCCCTTAGCCTCTCACTCCTGGCAACCATCAAAGAATGTGACTTCTTGTTTGTTTGGCGGGGTTTGTTTAGTTTTGTAATAGATGTCTCCTTTGATCTTTGTGATTGACTGATTTCACTTCGCATAATGTCCTCCACTTTCATCCATACCAGTGCTTCCCAAGTGGGTGATACCACCCCCTGGGGGGGCGCAGGAACCAGCCTGGGAAGTTGCAAAAGCATACACCTACACGTTATCCTGAATGATGGGCTATCATAAAAATGATTTTTAAGTACCGGGGGCCTCTGAGTCATTTTCTTTTTCTGAAAATGGGATCATAGGCCAAATAAATTTGGGAGCTTCTGATCCCTGTTAAACACAAGGTATTTTGCAGACTCATCATTGTCCTTTCGTGTTGGATAGTATTCCAGGGTGTGTGAGGATCATGGCTGGTTTATCCAGTCTTCTATCGAGGGCATATGGGTTGTTTCCTTCTCTGTATTCTTGTGCTATGATGATCGTGGGTGTGCACATTATATCTGTTCGCGGCACGACACGCACTTCTCTAAGATCCCTACTGTGGGATGGCTGGGTCCTATGCCCTTCTGTGTCCAACGTTTGAATGAAGCGCATGCTGCTTGCACACTGCTCAAGCCATTGCCAGCCCCCACCGCAGTGGATGAAGGTTCCCGTCTCTCCACGCTCCTACCAGCATTTCTTGTTTCCCTTCTTTCTTGCTTTTAAACTTTGCTGTGAATGCTGGAGGGTAATGCTATTGTTTTTTTTGTTTGTTATTTTTCTTTTTCTTTTTTTTTTATAAGTGTGGACAGTTTATTTATAATTTTCATTTGTATAAGACGAATTTTAAAAAGTGACAGCAAGAAATGACTAAGTTGACAATGAGCACAATTACAAGAGTTTCTAAGATCATAAGTATAAAATCCCGAGTATAAAATCTCTGCTGCTTCAATATGCACAGTGTGTTTATTATTACTGCTTTAGAGAAACAGAAGCTAACTTTTCATTTCCCAAGATTTCTGAACAGTCGCCCATGGGTTCTTGAAATTGAATAATAGGAAACTGGACTTGTTTTTCAAACCATTTGGCAACTGTAAGAAGCTGCTGGTCACAAAATGCACGTCCAATAAGTTGCAGTCCGATGGGCAACCCTTCGCTTGAGAGACCCACAGGCACGCTGATGGCTGGCAAGCCTGCCATATTCGCTGCTTGTGTGAAAACCAAGGCTGCGGCTTTTGTTACGAAGACGGGTCCCGAGCATGGATGCGTGAAGATTACGACAGCGTGGAGCAGGATGGCGATGAGCCTGGACCGCAACGCTCTGTTGAAGGCTGGATTCTCTTTGTCACTGGAGTCCACGAGGAAGCCACTGAAGAAGACATACACGACAACTTTGCGGAGTACAGAGAGATTAAAAACATCCACCTCAACCTGGACAGGCGCACAGGACACCTGAAGGGGTATATTCTAGTGGAGTATGAAACATACAAGGAGGCCCAGGCTGCCATGGAGGGACTCAACGGCCAGGATTTGATGGTACAGCCCATCAGTGTGGACTGGTGTTTTGTTCGGGGTCTGCCCAAGAGCAAGAGGAGAGGTGGCCGGAGACGCAGCAGGAGTCCAGACCAGAGCACTGCGGGTTCTGTTGTCTTCTTTGAGGAACTCCAAGGATGGCAGTGCCTCACACAAAGTCGTGGGAGTTAGCAAGACATCAACTCCAGAGTTAAACACATTCGCAAAATCGTTCGCAATGAGCCGTCTCACTTTCTGTGCTTTGAGGAAGTAATTT